AGTTTTTCATAATTTTTAGAGGAACAAAAAAAAGTAAACCCTGGAGTGTAAAAATGTGGGGAGAGGGAGAGACAGAGAGGGAGAGAGAGAGATGGAAAGAGAGAGAGGGAGAGGAAGAGGGAGGGGGAGAGAGGGAGGGCCCCACCAGCGCGTTGCTGTCGAGGCGCGTGAGCGAGGAGAGAGCGAACGACGGCGCGCGCTCCGGCGCAAGCGACGCGAGGAGCTCCGATGGGGCGGTGTAGGCGCCGTCGAGGGCGCGCACCTACGGCGTGAACGGCGTCTCTTCACACCTCGGCGCCGTGAAGGGAGGAGGAGGAGGCGCCGTCGAGAGGGGGCGCGCACCGCGACAAACGCGGCGGTGTAGAGGATGGCAACGCACCTGCGCACGCCACCACACCGCTGTGAAGAGACGCCGTTCACAGCGCGGCGGTGTGCAGAGGGTGGCGGCAGCACACCCGATGGCGGAGGTGAAGGAGAGGGCGGAGAGGTCCTAGGGTGAGGGGTTAGGGTTGGGGTTAGAGGTAGGGGTTAGGGGTAGGGTCAGGGGTAGGGCCAGGGTAAGAAGGAGAGGGCGGAGAGGTCCTTGAGCAGCGAGAGCGGGCAGAGGACGGCGGCGGTGAGCGAGACGATGACAGCCTGCCGCAGCCAGCCGGAGGCGGGGACGCCTATTGTGAGATTGCATCTCCCGTCAGGGTTCCCCTCCGCTGCCAGCGGGGATACCCTACCCCCAGGGAGGGGGAACCCACAGGGGGCACCTATGGTGAACCTATGGTGAGATTGCATGCCATGAGGCTTAGGGTTAGGGTCAGGGTTAGGGTCAGGGTTAGGGTCAGGGTTAGGGCAGGGGGCACCTATGGTGAGATTGCATGCCATGAGGTAGCTTTGCTGCGGTAGGGGTCTCGATCATGGTGTCGTGGAGCAGCTGGACTGTCGTTGCCATGCCGCGTGCTAGTCGAGCCCACTGCACATCTACCGTGCTGTGCATCTACCGTGCTATGCATCTACCGTGCTGTGCATCTACCGTGCTGTGCATCTACCGTGCTGTGCATGTGCTGTGCGGTGGTGCTGTGTTCTATTCGAGTACACTGCATTCTTGCTCTATCGTGCTGTGCTCTATCGTTCTATCGTGCTGTGTTCTGTGGGGCTTGTTCTATGGTGCTGTGTTCTCGCGCTGTGTTCTATGGTCTCGACGCCAGCGAGCCGCAGCAGCGACGAGAAGACGTCGCCGAGGATGCCTACAGGGAAGGTTCCGAGAAGGTTCCGAGAACGCTCCGACGGTGACGAGAAGACGTCGCCGAGGATGCCAGAGTAGATGATGGCGGCGGAGAGGCACATCAGGGCGATGCAGCCGTCGACAATCCACGCGGAGCGCGGGCCTGCGAAAAGGCGCGAACGGTTCTGAGAAGGCGCCGAGGCAGTCCCGAGGCAGTTCCGAGAGTGTTCCGAGACGGTTCCGAGACGGCTCCGAGGAGGCGCTTTGGGAGAGCTCGACCGCCGCTGGCGAGGGCGGAGTCTCGGCTAGAAGGCCTCGACATCATCTCGCACCATTCAGCGCGAGGTGCCGCCGCTCTGAGCTCCCTCATCTCTCGTCTAGATCTCGTCTAGATCTCGTCTAGATCTCGTCTAGATCTCGGCAGATCTCGCCAGATCTCGGCTGAATCTCGGCTAGATCTCGGCTGGATCTCGGCTAGATCTCGCCAAGAGTCGCGCCCCAGAGGCCCTTGAAGTTGGAGGTGCCGGTGAGCTCGCACGAGGCGCCGATGAGGTAGAAGGTGTAGCCCGAGATGGCGCCGAGCGCCACGCAGATGGCGATCGCCGGCACCCACCCGACGCCCGCAGCCATACCCGCGGCGAGGGTCAGGATGCCGGCGCCCGCGACGTTGTTGACAATCTGAACGACCGTCATGGTGACGCTGCTGCCAACGGGCTTTGGCGTCGTCGCCGCCAGCAGCGGGCGCGAAGTCTCGGGTGCGCTGCCTCTGCGGCCTCGAGTCAGCCGCGGCGCTGCGGAGTGGCGATCGGCCGCGAAAGACGACTGCGGCAGCGCCAGCGCCGCGAGTAGGAGCGTCGATAGGCGGACCATGGCCTTGGCCTCTCGTCGAGAGGCGAGCCGGCTTGGCATCCGCAACGATACCGTGGCGGAGAGAAACCGCGGTGACACAACAGCTGCACGTTCTCGAGGTGGAGGGTGCCTCCTTTCGCCCGCACGTAGCAAGCTCATGCTGGCCGTGATGCAGCGAACAGTCAGTAAGCTGTGTAGAGGATTTGATTTCACAGCGGCGGGTGAGAGCGTGCCGCAGCTAGTGTACGCCGACGACGGCCTGTTCCTCAGCAACGACATAGCCACGATGCAGCTAGCGCTAGAGTGCGCATGGTTAGTGACAAAGATCTGTGGCAACAGCCTCCAGGTCAAAAAGAAGAAGAAATCGGCATGGTCAGCGACGTACTGGGAGAACAACGAAGAGCGGGATGTCGAGGGCTACGAAATGAGGATGCCGGATGGCATGCCGATACCACAGCTGAAGGGAGACGAGAGATACAAATACCTCGGAACGGAGCTAAGGACCGGGTGGGCAAACGGCGAGGGC